GAAAAACAATAGCGTGTCAAATTGAGGACTGTAATGAGCCCCACGAATTTATACCAAGCTATTTTTGATCCTGATTATTGCCATGATCACATGTCTGTCCACATGAATAACCACACGAAGACTCGACCCTTGCAACCAATACATGGAGTAACGTCAGATTTGTTTGGTGCATATAAATTGTAGGTTCACATAAGCCTGAATTTGAAAAAGGAGTTTGCGCTGTGTCAACCACGATGAACATCTATTCATTGTACACGTCAAAAAACAATGTGAGTTCGCGTGAGTTCTTGAGAGTTTCAAATGAAAAATAATATACATCAGAATGCTCTGACTTTTGCTGTTTCATCTGATAAGGCTGTCCACAAATTTTCAAGCTCATTAAGCTCTCCTTTCTTGAAACGGCTGGGGGATGATGCGATTGCCTTTTTCAACAGGTAAATTTCGGTTAGTTACAGTCAGCTTTGTCCAAAATCGGTGAGCAAGAAAATGACCTGACTTTAAACCCTCTCTGATCCTGGATCATTTAGTGGCAATGGCTGCATGGGTGTAATGTGAATTTGTAAAAAGCAAGTACTGACACATCTACTTGTAAAGATACCATCAACTATAGCTCGACTACAATAACGAATTTGTCTGATATAGGAGCCTAATGCCAACGAAATGTTAGAAATAGTGTACAACGCATGTTGTGATGAGACGCTTGGTCCAACCGTTGTGTTTATCACACAGCCTCCCAGAAAGACGGCGCGAGTGCCTTATTATCATGCTCCCTGATTGATGATGCAGCTAAGCCCTTAAGTGAATATTCTACTACAACTGTGGTTATATGATAGTTGCTTTCATCAGGACGCATTGGTAAAAAAATCATCGGTGACCTTTTTAGAAACATGAAAGTGAAAATTTTACGATATCTGTGATTATACAATAACTGCGTCCGTCTTCAATGCATTGCTAAATAAGGTCATCTTTGATGGTGGTACATTGCAAGGTGTTTTCAATGCTGCTACCGTCGTGCTAAAACCAATCTTAACTCTGCTTTCGACTTCCACGCTCATTGCGAATCGATCCGTTTCAAATGATCTAATTGTTTAGGCTTTAACCTCATATCTACTTGAGTATGCCTCTATCGACACCTTGTCACATCTTTTGGGTGAGCCTTCATACGTCACACCGAGACAAGCACAAAATAAAACCAAGAACTAGATCGTGCGGATAGCATGGAGGCTTAATCACTGGCATGATTAGCGTGGCCTCGTACGAGCTGATAGTATAAGCAATTATCTGTAGGATTTCGCCCGCAGCTTGCACTACCTCGATACCAGAGTTCGGCTCCAGCTCGCATAGATTCGCTGATCTTGAACTAGACCATTTAAATCGATGCGACAAACCTCCCTTTAATTGAAGGAATGACACATTCAAGAGATCTTATAGAATGCACTACACTAAGGCGAATCTTTGTAAATCTATTGAAAAAAAATAAACAGCTGCATACTGTTGTTATTAGGTGTCTCGGCGATTTGTGAACCTTTTGGTGCGAGCTGCTATGTTGTGATAACGCCGCTCATTACTGTTGGAGGATGATGTTGCAGCAAAATGTCTGCTTTTTGCAAGCCTTAGATTTACAATTGTATTCGCCAACATTACAATTGATAAGCCAGCGTATAACATGACAATTTGATATGCCAGCGTTTAACATTGGTTTCCCGCTGTTCTGATCGAGGATGTGCGGTTAAGTTCGTTTCTTTTGTCATTCACTGGTCTTGATTACGGCATTGTGATTACAGCATGATCTTTCTCACTTGCATTTGCCGTCTGTTGTTTTGTTGGTAAGAGCTGAAGTGAAAAAGATTATAAAAACTTTCTTCGTATGTCTTTGCCACATCTACTCAGTCGTAATGATGTACAATTTGTCTGTCAGCCATAACAAAAGAAGAAGGGTTGTGCGCTTTAGCTTGGATCCTCATCGTATGCTCTAAACACCGTGTAATGAAACTTTGTCCTCTTTAGGATCGAAACTTTCATAGAGAAAGTGAAGTCGCCACACTTAACCATGGAGAATCAACATATAGCGTTAACAAAATTGAGCGGTTTCATCTTGACGTTCCCGCTTGCTGTTAGTACTTGTTGCTCCTTGGCACTGGCTTGGTCTTGATACTCGCTGTCTCATGTTATGACGTCCATAGTTGTTATATATGCAAGCTGACGCTGTGTGGCAACGTAGTCAATCTTCACAGTTACTTCTTGCATGTCTGAAAAGGTGATTTGAGCACCTTTGAAGTATATTATCTGGCGTTGTCGACTCAAGTGCTCGTTCCTAGGATGTTTTTCCAACGCTGTGTGCCTTGGCTGATAATAAGCATTTCATTCGTCCAATTTTTCTGTGAGTGCAAAGACCGAGTGCCATGTACACAGCCTTTACCGCGCTGAATACAGCAATTCACTAGAACTTTGATTTGATCACCACTGCTGTGACCGCAATCATGTTCACGAATCTAAGCAGAACGTCTGTCATCGGGATAGCTGCCTCAATCAGCATCTGAATATACCATAGCCGCAATGCTACCACTACATTGGTAGACAGTACCGGTTCGGCGTGTACGCTTCTTTGTAAGTTTCCCTGAAAAATGTCGACACCCAGTTGAGATTTTACAGTCTTATCCGACACACTGCAAGTATCATCCGAGTTGTGTGCATGTTGCCGACCAGAGAATAAGGTTCGTTAAAATAGGCTTCATGGTTTGCTTGAATTTTTCGCGACCAATCGTGCCTTGAACCGCACAGCAGTGCCACTTTGATCACATTTATTAGTGATCACCAATCGTGAGCAAATTGCAAGATTGTTCTTCCCGCGTGGCTTTAATAACTTTTTTTTGTTCAGTTTTTGGGAGCGAAGCTCGGCTCAAATATCATCATGACAATTCTCTGCATGGTCGCTTTCCATTGTTTGAGAATATGTAATCGACAAGTCTTTATTATCCTCTCTTATCACCATTTACGCAAAGCATCATCGGTAACGAGTTCGTCTAACTCACTCCTAGCACGTTTTCATGTCAGTTAACTACCACTTTTCTTCTGTTTCTCTTCGTCGATTATGCCGGTCCGTAGTATAAGAACTGGCTCATGGCTTCGACTTGCTCGATCTACGTATGGCTAAATCGCCAAATCTTCGATGGTCGCTTCTGACTGTCACGCATGCGCGTCGTAAATATCGTAAATATCGACTATAGCACGCTCATCCAACCTCATAGCGCGGTTCAAATTACCCTTTGGATTTTCCAAGTCGACCACGCGATAACCCTTGACATCTTATGCCTAATCAAAAACATACATCTGAATGTCCTGGATAAGCGCTTTGTTCTTGTTACATCGTAAAAATGAGCATAACCTGAAACGTGTGAGTGATCCGTCCGAGGCTTTATCCTCAAAACCAGCTCATATGGCGTGATGTCGGGTAGAATTGTGTTCGTCGAGCGATCAATAAGATAAACGGCTGTGTCCAAATCTACCGCATAACAACCCGTCAAGACGTATTTGTAGTAAAGTTTACTTAGCCCAATTCCATGATAGTTTTGTGCTTGCACTCTACCACCCCATTTTGCAGGTTGATATCTGAAACGGAACGTTGTTGGACGATCAGCTCCCATGGCATTTGATTGCCATCATTTTGTCCACAAATTCTGTTCCGTTGTCGGATCTCAAACATTTGACAAGAAGACTGGATTGATTTTCATCAAGAAACTTAAATTTCTCGGACTTACCAGCTACTTCTTTCTTGTTCTTCAAAAAGGGAATCGTAACGTATCTTGAAATATTGTCCGCAAATATTTGCACCTCTTTCTAGATGGTCCGCACTGGACCCCTGATTACCGTGATTTCCGTGATTTTCGTGTGTAAGCGCTCCAGAATACGTATCGTCTTTGCCATTGAACGTGAGGGAAATATCGTGGCTGTATGCAAACCGCACAGTGAGCTCTACACATCATGTAGTCATACACTGCGTTTGAGACTTTGAACCCCCAATAATGAAAGTGGAGCCAGCGCACCTCAACACCTTGAAAACACGAGCTCTTTTCTAGTAAATGCAATACTTATGCATGTCAGATAGACATATAGCTGCAGTATAGTATCGAGCGGCATCATTCTAACAACGAGAAAGACATAAGAACATGATGCAGTTTTACTTCGGGTTTTAACATCAAAGGTTCAGACATAATTTTTCGACCATTCAATTTTAAACAGCATTGGAAAGCATAAAGCTTCAAAATGAATGATAAAAAGCTGATTGATTGATTGAGGACCACAATATTTTGGTATATTATCGATACGCGACACTACGCGAAAATTGATGAAGCTGTCGTAAATGTTTGAGCACATTTACAGATATTCGCGTTCGTATAGCGCATTCTTAAGATGCCCATTCAACTCTTCAAGGGTCATCACTCTTAATTAACAAGAGATTTGTCGTATCGATCTGATTGGTTTGGTTCAAGACCTGAGAACGTATGCCATCCAAGCATTTGCCGAGTTGGAGCCGGACAGGAAGTGCATTTCAGGCGAATTCCTACAGATAACAACTGATAATATGAGATGGTGTAGAGGCCAGACTAGACGGGTTTTATCCTATAAGTGATACAAATAAGCCTTCATGCTTTCCGCTTGAACGAACATTGAAACTTTGGCATTAAATACCTTGTGATAGTGGTTCCACCCCAAGACGATTCCAGCACGAGTGTTTGCCCTCGCTGGTACCGACGTTGTAGGAAGCCTTGATTGTGACTGCTGTCGACCGGTTTGATTGATGGTAAAACCCAAAGTGAAATGTTCGTAAGTTCGTGTTCTTTACGAAACAAATGTAATACTTCAGCATGTAAAATCGACATATAATCGTAACATGATAATTCAACAGTACTTAGCGGCATAATTTCAACAGGTCTACACTTTGGGGTCCTTGTTGTTGTTTGGCCATCTTCTTCAAACAAATCTATTTCTATGTGGTTACTGTTTGTTTGATGTAGTTGATCACACATAGATGCAGTTCAAATTTTGTGCACAAATGGGCGTTCAAATCATGACCAACAAGCAGATAATCAAAAGTTTGTCTATTAATACCACAAAAGTCGGTCTCGATCTTATGGAGCAGCGGATTACCAATTTGATTCTTACCCAGGATACCGTATTCAGCATTGTTTTGAGTCGTTTGACGTTGGGTGATCAT